CGCCCCGCGCGCCCGATGCGGTGTGGCCCGCCCCTCGGGCTGGCGGGCGTGTTCGCTGTCCATTGCCGGCAATGGATGTCTGCGGTGATGACCCTTCAGAAGACAATTCCCTTGTTCAAAATCAAATTGCTTTTGTGTTACTGAAGTATTTAATAAGAAGCATTTTGCACTAGAAAGTATGTTTGTGTTGGTTTTTTAAGAAGTCTAAATGAAGTTATTAATAACTGAAGCTTTAAGTTAAGTGCATCGATCATATGATATTTTTGGAAGCATAAGATTTTAATTGTGACAGTTTAAACCCTCTTTTAGTCCGTTGAGAATATAAATAAATGTGTCTTCTTTATGGACCAAGGATATGAAATCATTTTTCCTTTATAGCTAACGGTGGCCTTGCGGAAGAAATGTTTTGGTTTTATTAAGAGTCTCCTCTCAATCCGGTTAGAAAGTTGTGCTGGATTTGATGTGCTAATTCTTTCCTACGTCACGCTGATTCCTGCATGTCTGCAGTCTGCCGAGTTTCTGTGTTTCTGCAGTAGTGGGCAAAAAGCATTAAGTCCCTTCATGATGGTGTTTCCTCTTTGTTCTGGGCTTGAGATACATGAGTGATTTTGTCGTAAAACATCCATTTTTGATATAATTTCTCTGGGGGATTAGAGTATACAGCTCTTGAAGCCCTTTGATCATAATAGTAACTGTCAGCTAATCATTTTTTTTTTTTTTTTTGAGGCTCTTTAACTCAGTGGTCCCCATCCTCCAGGCTGTGGACTGGTACGGGTCTGTGGCCTGTTAAGAACCGGGCCGCACAGCAGGAGGTGAGCGGTGGGCCAGCGAGAGAAGCTCCGTCTATATCCGCAGCTGCTCCCCAGCGCTGGCATCACCGCCTGAGCTCTGCCTCAGATCACTGGATGTTAGATTCTCATGGGAGCACTGGTCCCTGGTGCCACAAAGGTTGGGGATCACTGCTCTATTTTATGCAGTAGGCACAGTAAATTTTATTAAAGGGTTGGAGTGATAAATATAATCCTACAGAAACATATGGTTCATAAGAAAATAAAGGGTCTATAAAATTACTCATCAAAATTTCCCTGAAGAGCTATATTAGATACCCAACTTTAAAAAGACTGCCTGGAATGTGAACTCAATCTGTTCGTCAGTCAGCCGCTCTCTGAATTCTGTCTGGTTGCATTTGAAATAATGACAGTTACCAATCAGATATTTTATTTAAATGGTAGCAGCAACTTCCTCCTCCTCCTGATTAAGTAGAAAATGGATGTTTTCTTAGCTAATATCCGTGTGTGTGTCTAGACCACAAGTGGATGTCGTGGATGAGAATATAGATTATAAATGCTGGTCTGTGGCATGTGCTGTGTGCGTGGCTGGTGTCTTCTCCGAGTGTTGTTCTGCGGTAAGACAGAAAAGTTGTCATGTATATACAGCATATGACTTCGTAAAGCATTTAATATCCCCCCAAAATGGAAAGAATCTTTATAAACTGTGCAGTTATTTTTTAAGGCATGTTTAACCTTTGATTCTATCATTCCATTTTGCTAATATTAGCTTTATAAGTCATGATAAAGTACAAAAGTCCCTTCATCTTGTAACGTTTCGTTTTTGAAATGGAAAGGCACGTAACTTTGCGTGAGATTCTGCCCAGTGCCTGGGTGGGCTGACGAGATGGCTGCCCGGTCAGGTAGACGAGGGCATGGGACACACGATGTCTGAGGTCTCTTCCAGCCTGACCAGCTGCAGATCCAGTCACCCCTTAATAAATGTGTGTGGAATGAATAAATGGATGAATGAGCTTCTTGGTGTGATTTTAAAAGTTTGCTGGAGGAATGATTAGGCATCGAATCTAGGTAAGACGATTTAGAAGTCCCCCCCCCAAAAAAAGAGCCTTTTCTGTAAAAAGTCACACAAAATGCAAATTGAGGAAGGTCTGTTCTGCTGGCCTCTCGTGGCAGGAGACTTGAGGAGGACTTGTCGCACGGGTGTGGGGTCTCAAGCAGGAAGGGCCTCATCCAGAAATGATTTCTAAGGACATTTTCTTCGAGTGGAGCTTTATATACTTCCTGCGTTCCCTGGGGGCAGGTGCACTGAGGAGCGACCCGGGCCAGCGGCGGGGGGTTGTTCCCCACCCTGGTGTCCCCTCCGGCCAGTCCCTCCTTGTCCCTGCTCCAGCAGAGCCTGGGTGTCACGTGGACACCGGCAGGGCTGAGCTAAGCGGCACTGGTGGCCCATGTGCCTGTGGATTTATTTAATGTTTAATCTTAAATTTTTAAAAACATTTTCCCGTTGGCTTTTTACATGTTTTGGTTATTCCTTTTGCCATATCGTAGCTATAAATAACATGGCAGTGTCATAGAATTATAACATGTCTATGATTCAGAGCTACAAATAGGATATATAACAAGTCATGTTCCCCCACCTCCAAATAAATACACATGTGCAAGTGGGTGTGTGTGTGTAAATTGGTACATAGCGGGGAGAGAGAGGCAACCATGTCAGAATATAGAGACTAAGTGTGTTCAGTCACTCGCGCTCAGCTTTATAAAGGAGTTGGACTCCATCCACAAAGGAGTGTTTTCTGAGACACGTTGAAAACCAAGAGAAACAGTAACAAAACTCAATAAAATATTGTCATTACAACTGCTGAGGATCATCCCCTAAAAACAGTTCCAGATTTTTGTCATTCACCTTTGCTAAATGTTAGTGGTAAATGGCTGCTTTCTCTTCCTTGGATTCATTTATTTTTTCACACAATTCATATAATTCAGGAACTGGGGGAAGACTTGTATCGTCACTTAACTTCTCGTTGTTTGAACATGGCATTTTCATAAACGCAGGCGTCTCTACCCTCTGGCAGATCTCGGCATCCGCTAGGTACCCGCCACGTGCCTAGGTGACCACAGACAGAGCCGTGAGCAGGAAATGTGTTCGTGAGTCCTTCGCTGGCTGACTGCCAGCCAGCAGGGCTCTGTAGACGTTTGTTACCTGGGATTGGGTCGGGAGGAATATGAGACACGGCCCCTGCCCTCAATAGCTCACCGTCCACTTCCGACAACAGAGCATCTACGAGGGTTGCCCAGGTGCGGGGTGCTCTGGGAGGCAGCGCAGTGGGACACAGAAGGAAGCGGACTAGGAGCCAAGAGACCTGGCCTGGGCCCTTTTCCCACTGTTAGCCTTAGACCGATGACTTAGCTTCCTTGGTCTTTAGTGTCTTCCTCTGTATAACAAGGAGTTTGGAAGAGCGAATTTAATAGGAAAAAATACACACAATTTTGGGACCCAGGCCATAGCTGCTGGATCCGACCCTTCATGAAGGGGGCCTAGGAGATTTGACAGTAAAAAGCTCCATCATGTGAACCTATCGACCAGCCAGATTTGAAACCCACTGATTTAGAAGATCTCAAAATATATGTGATTGTGTGATCATATGTTATTGTGCTAATTACACAAACATGAGTAATTGGATGTTTATGATATTGTTTATCTGTGTTTACATAGGAAGTTACGTAAGAAATGCATTTTAGCATACATACCTCAACCGTCGTTTCCCGGAAGTTTTAGCGGCCTTTGGAACACACATGAGTCTTAGTGGGGCACTGGATGTCATTTACTCAGACATTTGCCTTCCAGTTTATTTCTTCGAGGGAAATCGAGGCTCTGGGAACCAAAGAAATGGAAAAACAAAATGTCATGCAAAGTTAAAGGAAAAACAAATTATTTCTTACTATCTGCTACCTTATGTATGATGAAACATTTAACGTTCTACGAGAAGATTCTTCTCTGGGATGACGGATCCTCTCATAAAGCAAATGTCCTTGTTAAAGTAGCTAGAGTCTAAGGCTTATGATTAAAAACAAGGCCGCCTTCTCTAGGATGGACGCTGGTGGCTCACCCCTGATTCTGCAATGAAAGTAAAGTTTGGGCTCCCCAAGGCAAATGGGGTGGAGGAGGAGAGCACCTTAGGTGGAAACAGTTGAGCAAATGAGAGGCTGGAGGCGAGATGCTAAACTCTTAGAACAGAGCGAGTGGGCTTGGGGCTTGGGTCTCTGTGCCTAGGGGTTTGTGGGCTCTGGGGTGGGGGAAGGGGGCTCCAGGAGGCTGGGTCTCTGTGTCTCCAGGGATTGTGGATGGAGGTTGGGTTTCTGCCTCGGGGAGGGGTGTGCTGTGGGCTCTGGAGGGGGCGGTGCTGGGTCTCTGTGCCTCGGGGTCTGTGTCACTTGTCAGAGGCGAGGCTTCCTGCAGGGAGTCAAGAGTCGCAGGGGACTTGTCTCTTCTCCTTTCAGAAATTTTGCTGGAGGGAAAAGAGAGCAAAAATGACTTTGAATCGTATTCTAAACCCTGGACCAGCCAAAGGGTAAAAAGCTAACCAACAATATGGCCAAGGAGACTGGGGAAGCGGGAGGGACGCGATCCTCCTTCCCGACTGTGGCAGACGTCGGGATTTGGAGCAGGTCCCTCAAGAACCCCGTCTGACCTCCCGACCCTCTGTCTTGGTAGCAGTTCCAGTGTTGTTTGATCGTATTTTTTAAGTCTTACACTGAATAACAAACAGGTCAGGGCCAGCTGTCACCATAGCTTCAGATGGAATTCCCTTGCACTTGTAAACACTGTCCGTTTGCTTTTTATTTCTTCTAGAGAAAAATTTTATTGGAGACTCAACTGTTCTTGGCTTTGTTTTCTAAGATGGCCTATAGTACTGGGGAATTTTAACGCCAGAAAGTCTTAGGATCTAGATCCCATCATTAACATTAATCAAAAAAAAAAAAAAAGGAAAAGTCCCAGGGAAGCGGTGGTTATTAGTAAATTGGTGTAAAGGAGCACATTCTGCATTGCGTTTCCCATATCTGGTCTCTCGTTCAGCATACCCCCTCCTTCCCCGCCCCCACGCCCGAAGAGCACATTATTTCCGAAGACCTCCTTTAAAAACGCTGCATAAAATATCCCTTTACAATCAGATTGCTCTGATTTATCCTTAATTTTGTTAAACTTTTTTAGATATGAACGAAGTGCTGCTGTGGAAAGAAATGTACTGTATACTATTTCTGTATCATTAAAATTAAATTTTTATGATTCCTTTTCCTTGATTTCTTTGGAGAAGGGCGCTGGGTTACGGGGACACTGGAGTGGAATACAGCTTCTTACGCCGTGGCAGTGGCGCTAGGGAAGAAGGTCCCTTTGGGGCAGAGCTGCGCCGGAAGACACTGAAGACCAAGGAAGCTAAGACCTCGGTCTAAGGCTAACAGTGGGAAAAGGGCCCAGGCCAGGTCTCTTGGCTCCTAGTCCGCTTCCTTCTGTGTCCCACTGCGCTGCCTCCCAGAGCACCCCGCACCTGGGCAATCCTCGTAGATGCTCTGTTGTCGGAAGTGGACGGTGAGCTGTTGAGGGCAGGGGCCGTGTCTCATATTCCTCCCGTCGAGCCCCTCCCACCACCCGGATCGTTCCAGAACACCTCGCAGATGCGCAGAGGGGACTGTGGTCTCGGGTCGTTCGCACGTAACAGTGGCGTTTCCACGTAACAGTGGCGTTTCCGAGCTCCAATCCCGATTGAGGCTCAGCCTCGGCCACGCCCACCAGACGCCACGCCCACCAGACGCCACGCCCCCGAGCCTCGTTTCATCATCTCTAGACTCCGGCACAATGCTCTTTACTGTGAAACGGGGTGTCCCTGACCCAACAGCTGCCAGGAGCCCACTAAACGCTCCCCTCTCTGTGCGATCCGGAGCCATGGTGGGCAGGAACCTTTCTCTTCTCTTGGACTGACACACAAGCCTTCCGCGGGAATTGGAGTTTGTCATTGACTATGCCAAGGTAGAAAAGCGGGAATGGCTCGAGTTGGCAATATTGGTATTAGTAGTGCATTCCAGAACTTTCCCCCTTCCCATAGCGGAACGAACATACTGGCGATAAAGACCCATGGCCATTTTGACGTCATCTGATTCTCCTTCGGTCTGACTCAAGGGCTTGCATGCTTTTTCATAGATCCCATGCTGTCTACCCCTGTGGCTATGCCTTGTGCCCGCCTGTGATGTGGACAATCAAGTGACAGTGGTTCTCGTCAGAGGAGAGCTGACCGGCTGGCGGGGGAACCCCTCAGCCTCTTGCCCTGGGCGGGGCTCCCTCCTTCGTCCGCGACTCGCTGTGGCCCACTGTCCCTCACTGAACCCGCGGGGATAGGTGTACCGCCCAGTCAGGGGATCTCAGTGCTGGCAGCACGGCCACTCACGTTGGGACACCGCGGGCACTAATGCCTGAGCCAGTGGAGTCTGCAGGGAGGGCCAGGCGCTCGGTGTTTCTCGAGGCTCTGCGCATTGGTTCACGGTGCAGCCAGGAGCGGGAGCCACCTGTCCGGAGGAACGGAGTTTTTTTGGGGGACACAATCTGCTTCTCATTCCCTGCTGGAACTTTCCGCTAAAAAACAGAGGATCGTGGACTTGGACCAGCTCCGACGGGGAGGCAGAGAATCTGCAGTGAAGCTCCCGGCCTAGACTCTGAGAAAGAGCCTGGGACACACACGTTGGACGTGCTCTGGGATTGGGGGTAGGGGTTGGAAGCAGAGGGGCTTCACTGCATCAGGAGGTGACCAGAATAATGTCCCCATCAGAGGAGCACGCTGAAGATGCTGCCGTCTCCATTCTGGAAATGCTCCCAAGTGTGCAGAAAGCGAGATGCTGTGAACGAGAAAACCTCCAGGCTAACTAGTAAGGTGGGGTTCTTGGGAGGGACTCGGAGTTTGGGCAGCCCCCACTCTGAATGTGGACCCCCAGGTCTGTGGGGGTCGCGGGCTCTGGAGGACTGTTTGCAGTGCTGAGTTTTACTGAAGGGCGAACAGTTTCTGGGGTCTAACTGAAGTCATCGGGTGAACCGGACATTGTAAAAATAGAGTAATTCATCACAAAAGCACAGCTGAAATCGCAACTTGCATCCACCACTTTGCCCTTTACCGCTTTTCAAGGAGTTTATGAGAACCTTAAATTCATGCAAATCATCACTGTACAAATAACACCCGAGTCTGTTTGAAATATTGCCTTTTCCAGAGCATGAGGTCGCACGCGAGTTTGAACAGTTGAGGTGCGATGCCTTCCTGAGTCCTTCTTCTCCATCCCTTCCACTCTGTGAGACATCGAATGTGACCTCAGGGGTCTTGTCTGGCGGGTTCTGTTCGGTGGCAGTCCGAGTCTCACCAGCCTGCAGAATAAGTGAGGCCAGGCCTTGGGCCAAAGACAGGCAAGGCTGCTCTGTGGAGCGTGGCATGGTGGGCTGTCATATTGGAATCTATATGTTTTAAACAAATGAGTATTTTACTCTCTAGCCTTCTCCACAGACTTTAGGCTGTTTTGCTCAGATATATTTCCAAACTGTGCCCTGTAGGTGGCCTGCTGGGGGTGGGATGGGCAGCGGCAGGATGGAAAGACTGAGTGTGGTTTCGGGTTTGTGTTCAGAAGTCACGTCCTCAAGGAGATCTTCGCAGACCACACGCCAGTGCTGTGCTGGTCAACGGTTAGCAACCGGCTCTCCAGGGAGAAAACGTTCACCAGTTTCGTGATGTGAAGACTTGCACCGTGGCTGATTGCAAGCTACCGGTGTGACCGCTGAAGGTGCAGTGGGGAAAATATAGGATTAGCACACGAGTAGACAGCCATTTCACTGGATTAGCACGCAAGTATACAGCAGTCCCACTGCACGGGCACGAGCAGGGACCAGCGGCCGGCCAGCAGTGGCCCCATGAGCCGAATCCCACCCATCGCCTGGTTTTCTGAATACTTCCTTGGAACACAGCCATGCCCACTCATATTTCATATCTACTCCTGCTTTTACGCTACAATGGCAGAATTGAGTAGTTATGACAGAAACTATGCCCTGCACAGACTAAAATATTTACTATCCGATCCTTTCCAGAAAGTTTGCTTACGCCTGGTGCAGGTAATTTTAAAATAATTAGGAAGTGGTGAGTTTTAAATATGACTTATTTAATTGTATTTAATTATAGCTTTTAGATATAACTTATTTAATTGTAAGTTTATATAATTTAACTTTAATAAGGGATGTGTTTAAGGATTGGCTCACAAAGAGCCTGATGATTTAGCAGTCGGCTCTAGTGAGTGGGCGGGAGCCAGTACCGGGTCCTGCGGCCACCATCTGAGACGCACCCGCAGGCTCCCGGGGCCCACACGCTCCACTGTCCCCAGGGCACCTCTCCCGGACCTAATGGTTTGTTGGCATCTCTTTGCACTAGAAACGGACTTCCTCTAGTCCCTTCCGTGCTTTCCTTAGCATCTCGAATGATGCCTGGCACAAAGTAGATGCTCAAATATTTGCCGAGCGGGAGAAGGAACTTGCAGCCTTTTATGCACAGAAGCCACCCCGTGCACTGTTGTTCCTGTGGCCAGAATTACATCGCCATCCCCATTCCTTTTGAGACACTAGAAGAGGCCCCAGCTCCTGGTTCCACGCCTTCCCTCCCACAAGTGGATACGTTATATATAGAGCTCACCTCCTAAGTCTTTAGGGACTTGAAATGAAACCATGTTTGTGAAGTGCAGGTGTAATCGGCACTTCCCTTTCCACCTCTCTTCTCCCTCTACGATCAAATTTTCAGGTCCTACTCTCAAGTCTTTTTAGATCGCTTTTTCTGATTTAGGTTTTCTTATGCCTCTCGCCCTTCCGGCGCAGCACCGCCATCGTGTGGTCACGACAGGTTATGGCAATGTCCGTGATCTTCGCTCCCAGCTGCTGGCAGCGGCGAGATCCCAAGTCTGGAAAGCAAAGCAGCAGGTGAGTTTGGAAAGCAAATGTGGCGATGACTCCGGGCGACGCAGCAGATTACAAAGTGCATCCAGGAGTATTTAAGCTTCCTCTGTGCCATTGCGGGACAGCTGGTCAGTGCCTACGGGTGTCCTTGCTCACTATCTCTGTGTGGCCTTTTCTGTCTCTCCATCTACCTTGCGTTTTCAGTCCGCTTTTACAAATGGGATTTAAAACGGGTTAGTGCCACCTACTGGGCGAAAGCCGTCAGGACGGGCACGAAGTCCGCCGGATCCGGGAGGAATGAATTACACGTCCGCAGCTCCCTGGGAAGAAAGCAGGCAAATAACAGGATCGTGATGGCAAGCCCCTTCATCAGAAACAGCCTTCTCTGGGGGAGGGGGTGTGGGAAAAGACAGCGTGAGCCTGAATCCCCTGGACTAAGCTCGCAGCGGCTGAAGTCGCGTCTCAGTATGAAAATCAACCACACTCTCATCGGCGTTTCCTAAAGAGGGGTCTGCAGACCACCTGTGTCTAAGTCATGAGGAGGGCTTAAGAATTCAGGCTCAGAGCACCGCCCCACCCCACCCCAAACTCTCAGCGGGGCCCTGGAATCAGCGTTCAGACCCCCTGTCCCGCCACGCGACTCTTAGACGCAGCGCCGCCCCAGACCCTGCGGCGCGGAAGAGACCGTGCTCTTCCAGGAGGACCTGCGCTCGGATTCAGGCTGGCAGTGACCGCGTCTTGTGCGGGCGGGAGCCGCACTGCCCTAGGAAGCCCCGGTCCCCGCCTTCGCTCACTCTGCGGTGTGGATTACGCGATGACAGACCCGAAGCCTGGGCCTCGGAGGTGCTCCCGCGGCCTGCCGGAGCTGTAAGCCGGCCTCCGCGGCGCTGCCCCCCGCCCCCTGCTCTGCTGGGGGAGGGGTCAGACCAGGTCACGCTGCCACGCCCGCATAAGCCCCTCCCCGGGGGCACCCCTGACGGCGAGGGCGCGGACCCCTCCTCGGACTGCTGACTCCTCTGGGTGGTTCTCCCGCCCTCCCCCAAGTCACAACTCCGGAGTCACGTGACTGCTTATTTTCCAGGAGCCTCGATGTTTGATGTACCCAGCGGTTCTATTCCCGGGACGTTTTCTAAGGAAGCGACGATCACGGGGTGCGGGGCGGGGGCAAAATTAGCCATAAGACCACAGATAGCGTCGTTTGTCATGGGAAGAAACTGGAAAAACTCGAATGTGCAGGACCTTCGTCAGTTTATAGCATAGCTGGGCTACGAAGTACTCTGCAGCCATTGCAGATTCTTCTAGAACGTCATTTTTTGTTAATGACGTGAGCAAAGGTTCATCATATATTAGGTAAAAAGAATGGCTTATAAAAACTTAGGTATCGTAATAAATCTAATTTTGTTTATAAAAAAAATCATTTGAGTGCACGGAAAAGCGTATTTGCAGCGAACACACTGCCTGCCTAGAATTCGGTGACTGCAGATGACGTGCATGTTTTTGTTTTTTTCCTCGTCGGTACCCCGTGGTTGACTGACAGGGTATGCAGGGAGGCTGGCTGGGCAGGATCCGCTTATCAGAAAGAAATAACGGGCATGAGAGTTTGCGAGCCGTAAATCAAATACCGTGGTGTGTCCGGGGTGTGGAGCGGATGCCTCGGGAGGTCATTTACCACGATAAAGATCCAGTGACTGGATCAGAATGGAAGCCATTTCCAGACCAGAAGGACCATCCTGTGGCAGGGGAGTTTTAAAGGGGCAGGACAGTCAGGAGCAGCCATCAGGCGTTGGGTGGGCAAGGAAAAGAACCGTGTGTCGTCTGGTTTGGGGTAAAGCAGACTCCGCCCAGATCACGCTGAGGCCCCTTCCGCCCTGTTCTCTGCTTGGAGTTCACTTTCCTGCCCTCCAGGTAAGGGCCCCATGGGACTCTCTGTCTGTGGCCTGGAGTTCGCAGCTGTCCTGCGGCTCACGTGTGGAGAGCCTGCCATCACCCCTACAGGGAGGGGTGTCTGTGTGTGCTGTCGCTGGACTTGACCATATTTAGAGATTCTCCCTGCCCACCGCAGAGCCACAGGCAGGAGCTGGGCTGACTGGTGCCAGACCCTGGGACGCACCGCCACCCGCCCTGCCTGCCCCAGAGTGTGCGTGGTCTGCCCTGCAGCCTTTCTTTCTGTATTGAGATGAGCCTTATTTCAGGACGCTTGTCTTCTGTGTAGGGCTCCCCAAATTTTACATGTCCGTGGCCCTTCGCACCAACTTGGGGACTTTTCTCCTTCCAGTTCCCCCTCCTGCCCCCAGCGACAACTGCTGTTTTGACTTCCGTCACCATGGGTTCATTTCACCGGGGTTTGGAAGGAAGGCAGAGAGCCTGTCCCCCGATGGAGCGTCTGTGAGTCTCATTCGTTCGTGCATATCAGTAGTTCTACATCACCGATCTGTGGTGCTCTGTTGTATAAACGCACCATGATTTGTGTGTGAGTTCTCCCGTGGATGGGCATTTGGGTGGTTTCCAGGTTAGGCCATCATGAATAATGCCACTGCGATCCTTCTGGAGCACGGTTTTCGATGCACCCATGTAGGCCTTTCTCCTGGGACCACCTAGGAGGGGTCTGCCGGGTCACGGAGAGGTGGGTGTTTAACTTTCGTAGACATCGCTGCACCAAGTTCCAAAGCAGTTTTCCAATGTACGCTCCCTCCTTGTATTTATTTTTTTAACCAGAGTTAAAGTAATTAAATAAAGAGGCTTATTTACTTAATTACTGAACCGCGTGGCTTGAACACCTTGGTAGCCTACGTTAGCACACCGAAACCTGAGCCGGAGTCAGGCACTCCAGTCTGAGAAGATGAGACCGAGGGACCAGCAGTCACAGCCAGGGAGCCCTTCCCAAGTCAGGCAGCTGCTCAAGCTACGGCCAATCACCTCACTTCCTTGCTTCGCTTCCGTGTTGTCTCTATAAAAGCCTCTCCCCCAGCACTTGTGGGTCGAACACTCCCAACCACTTTTGGTTTGCAGCTGCCTGATTCCAGCTCACTTCTGCTCAAATAAACTCGAAAATTTTAGTGTGCTTCCTTTGATCCCTTAACATCAAGTTCACTGAGCTGTAATTTATGTACAATATTTTAAGTAAACACTTTGCTGAATTTTGACAAACTTTCTTTTTGCAGTGAAATTTAGTAACTTTGATTAGTTACTTCCAGCTCAAGGGGTGTGTGTGTGTGTGTGTGTGTGTGTGTGTGAGAGAGAATGTGTGTGTTCCCTTTGTTTCTTTTTAAAACCCAGGCCCAGAGCAGAATGAGGTCAAGTTTGCAAGCAGGTCTTGTATCCAGTACAGCCTGGGTCACTGGGTGGTTGAGATTGGGTCCAATCCTTCATTTTAAAGTTCTGAGAGCCTGCAGCCTATTGAGGAAGGGCTGTGCCCTGGGCATGGTGAATTGGAGGCAGAGCTGGCGTAGGGCTGAGCTGTGGGAAACAGCTGAGCTGGGCTGGTGTTGGTTCTGAGCTCTGCAGGCTTCCTAGGTGGAGGCAGCTCTGCTCCTGGATGCTCGTGGACCTAAGTCGCAGGAGGTGGAGTGGCCCAAATGCTGGCCTTCCTTGGGGTTCTGGGGCTGTAAGGAGTCCAGATCCTGACATGGGTGGCCTTGGATGCTCGCTCTGCAGCCAGAGGGTCTGTCTCTAGCTCCTGGGCTGCCCACACCATCTGTGGCTGCCCAGTGCCTTCAGCAACAGGGCCCCTGGACCTCACACCTGCACCGTCTTTACCTCTCCCCTCATCGCCAACCTGCTACAGCTGCTGCAGGTTAACGCGATCAGAAAGGACTCCAGACTCTCTGCTACAGCCTGCCCTCATCCCCAAGAGGACCCCAGATACCCCAAGACCCCCTCGGACTTCCACAATGCTTTGTATGTATCTGTTGGCTCCAGTAATGGGGTCACCAGAAGGCCAAAGCCATGTTGTCCCTGTTCTCCTCTGTGTTCGTCACAGGGTGCCCCATCGGGGGACATTCCATGTTCATTGGGAGATGGAATGATTCACTTAAGGTTATTTTTCACGAGCATTTCCAAGCCGAATGTTCTTTGGTGCCCATGCTATTTTGGTTGTCAGGACTTTTCTCTCTGGTCTGTTCCTTCGTCCACATGGCTCAGAGGACCCACGTGGGGGGTAGGGATGGGTGTCCCTCACTCCCCTCCAGCCCCATGTGAAGAATCTGGGGTTCGTAGGACTCAGCCTACTGTTTCGGCTGCAGATACCAACCACAGGAGTGTGGGTCCCCCTTCACCCCAATATTCCAGGGCCCCGTGATGCCTTGAGCGTTTGCTTGTTCATTGCACACCGTCTCCTCTGCCAGGCCTCATGGGGAGAGTGCCCACCGGTGGACAGGGCCACCTCCCCTGGGGCCTTCAAGTTGGCCTAGGTGGTCTGTGAAACCAGCCAAACCTGGGAGGCCTGGAGCCTGGTCATGCCATGCTTCTGTGGGCCTCTGTTTCTCCACCTGTAAGGCGAGGGAATGTCCCAGAGCCTGGCTCTCAGGAAAGAAAGGAAAGCAGAGCGGAGGGGGCAGGTGGCACGGGGAGTAGAAGTGGAAGAAGCGGGGCCCGTGGGTTCTCATTTTTCAAAGTCGGAGATTTCCAAGAGAAGTGAGATCTTCCCATTTGTAAAATTCTGGCAAAAAACGAACTATGTGTTTGTGTGTTGTTTACCGCCGTGTGGGCCACCAGTTTGCGAGCGCTGACTTGGGCGTCCTGTCCCAGCCCCTCCCAGAGCCTACAGTCCTTCCAGACTGGGACTGGCTGGTGGTGGCAGCGTGGGAAACCCAGAAACTCTCGGGGCTGGAATTCTGACGGCATCGCACCCCTCCTCAGTGTGCCAGCTGTCACACGAAGGACACCCTTTGTAGTAAGAGCTCCTTCCTTTCGGGGCGCCAGAGCTAGCATATGAATTTTTGATCAGATTGCCTTTTGAATGAGTTGACTGTCATGAATAATAGGGCAAAGGGCGTCAGCATTGTGTCTTTAACTATAACTGTTCCAATTAATTATGGGTTTAATTAGCATATATTGAGAGCAGCCCTGGAAAATAATACTTCATGGGTTACAGATGCCCTGGCAGCTGTTACATGAAGTGTGATACCGGGCTGGGGGAGAGATAGTTATTAATAAATTACTCCCATTGTCAGAGACCCTTATTTATACAAATTAGCAGGGGATACATAATCAACTTTCACTGTATAATTTATAATAATTGATTTCATTTTGACTGACCACTAGTCGCTTACCAAATTCCCTAGGAAGAAAAATTGCCCTATTAGGGTAAGTTTAATCCTAAACATAGCTAATGAATCCTATTACTTTAAGGTCATATTTGAAGCTTTTGTTAATTGTCAGAACCATTTTAAATTGATTAGAGTTAAATTAAATCAATGTAATGTTTAGAAAAACAATATTTCTAATGGATGAGGCCAGGCTGACCTCAAATAAACATATTTATCAACCGATTCCTGGTGACGAGAAAGGGAACAGCTGGGCCCATACTTCACATTTGTCTATAATATGGGAAATGTCACCATGCAATTAGTTATGTCAGGTAATGAATAGGGAGCGTGGGGACGCTGCTCTGGCAGCTGGGGTTGGATGGGGTAGAATGTTCCGGACAAGCGGTTGCTCACCTCCTGATGGCATGTCTTTCCCCAACTTCAGGACCGCGCCTCCCAGCTCCCCATCCTGCAATTCTCAATTCCCTAGAGCTCCCCGACTCCGCAGGGCCACTCCAGCCCTGCACCCCCACTCCGGCCCTGCACCCCCACTCTCTGAACACTCCAGCTTCCTCCGGGAGCTGGGATGCAGCACCCCCTAATGCCTGGTCCCCACGCATTCCTCGTCACCCCTCTGGTTCCTCTCCAGGAAGCTTTCCATGAGCCCCCGAGACTCCATAAAGTCCCCCAAGTGTGGCTTTCTGGGCAACACAGGTACCCGTCCCAGCTGTCATTCTACATCGGTGTGACTATCTGATGGCCGTCTGGCTTCAGCAGCAGGTTGCAAACTCTGTGGGAGCCGCCCTGTCGCTTTACTTGGGTCTGGGCGGGGGCCGCTGGAATGCCCCAAGGCCGGTGGGTTGGGGTCCTTGGCACCTGACTGCAAACAGGTCCCGTGGGTCAGCCACAGAGGCTGAAATTTCACTCGCGACTCCTCGTGGAAGCGCTGGGAAGGGCGAACCCCACAGCGGCTATGACTCAGCATCTCTGCCTTTTGTAAATCGCATCCATGACGTATGGTAAGTTATTTAAAGGTGCAGGGAGAAAAGACGCCTGTGAAGCAATCTGAATGCATCAACCTAG